CTGGTTGAGCTTATAGTAATGATTTCTGAAAGTTGAAAGACGCTTTGTCTGCAGTCATGCGAAAAGAAGCAGTTCTGGATTCCTTGCTAAATCTCGCTTTACATTGAAGTTCTATCAGGTAAAATACTTTTGTATACAATTTAAACGTGTTTTACATGTTTTAGTTGAAGTTTGTGAATGAAATTGTTACAATCACTGGATTTAAATGATCCAATCTTGATCTTGGCTTCATTTCCGCATCATGATTCTTGTACTTTTATCGTCTGAAATTTCTACCTTCTCTTTACAGAATGAATTCAAAAACCAGATACATACACAAACCAGTGAATCATTGAGGGATGGACGAAGAAGAAAGGTGAAATGACAGATATTTTATGATTCTGATATGAATATTTATTAGTATAGGAATCACGAAGTGGAACACTTTGATGAATAGTTTATTAACTGTTTATAATTATAGATGTAATAGTACAAACGCTCTGATTGGTCCAAGAGTGTGATTTAGTTTGCCTGTAAATCTGTAAATGCATGTTTGCTTCACTAATTTATGCACAGCAATTCAAGGGCGGATCCAGCTGAAATTTTAAGGGGGTGGGGGCGGGGGGAGAGGGGGGGGAGGGGTTAAATAGGTTTTAATTCTTAATATCAACAACATTGAACATAATAGAAATCAGTTCAATTTTGCTGCTCTGAGAGGGGGGGCTGCTCTGAGGGGGGCTACAGCCCCCATTTGCCCCTCCTGGGATCTGCCCCCTTGGCAATCCATCCCATCATTGCTTTACTGTCAAAAAAAATTACAACAATGATCTAGGAAAAATTCAACTCAATCTGATTCATAAGAAATGAATAAAAATGATTGATACAAGAAGTCATCAAAACCTGGTCAATTAAAAATCTTTTTTTTCCCAGGAATTACTGCTGCCTAGTGCTACTACTTTCCAGGGTAGGCCTGGTAAAGTTACGTCAGTTTTTCATAAATGAATGGGATGCTTTGGGTGGATTTGATCCATGGACTGACTGCAATCAGAATGGTACTGACCTGTTGACAAAGTATACTTCACTTTCTTATGAAAGAGCCAAAGTCCAGTCAGGTGACACAACGACATGGGATTTGTCTCTATTTGTCAAAGCTCTGTTGAAATCCAAACCTCCATTTGTACCCAAATCTAATACTACTTTAGTTGCTGGTTTGGAATGTTTGAAGGAAACAAGAAATACTCTTTGCCATACCGGCAGTGGTAAGATTGAATTGACAGAGTTTACCAAGCTGTACACTGATGCTTGCAATGCATTACTGCTAATTGGTGCTTCGTCTGTGGAATTTAATGAAGTTAAGAATGGTAAGCAAAAAAGTTTTGAAAAATAAAACCATTCTGATGTGATAATCTGTACTATTAATCATTTAATTATATCCATTTTGAAATCACAAGTGAATCCTGCAATCTGATTGGTTCTTAGCAGGTTGATTTCAGCCTAAATCGCACCATTTTTAATTCTTAATCGCACTCCTTTGAGGAGCCAATCACAATGCAAAACAAGTAAAAGGCAACCAATCACAATACAGGATTGTGTGTGGTTAACCAATCAAACTACAGCAAAAAGGACACACAAAAAGTACATTTTTAGGTTTTACAGCAAATATTTTTATGAAAATATATGTGCAAATTGGATTATTTTAGTTCTTACTTACAGTTTTAGATGACAATGTACTATCTCGGTGTAATTTTTCATCATTTGCTACTTCTAAAAACACTTCGAAAGTGTAATTTACAGTCCAAAAATGTCAGAAATGTTCAACAAGGGATGCAAGTTCATGCAGCTCAGTTTGCAACTGCAACACAAACAATTGAAGCCCGTCTATGAATGAAGATTTCCAGGGCTTATAAATTATGCAGACATCCTTAGGCTTCAGGTCACTATTAAGAACAAAGACAGCAACAAAACTTTGGAAAATGTGGATGAATGTCCTCGTTCACGAGCCGCCATCTTGATT